GTCAGAGCTGTCACAGACATCTCTCTCTCTGCATGGCATTTAGGTGAGAAATCTCAGCACTAAAAAGTTCTGTCAGTCCTATTTCCTTGTTATTGCCCCTCTCTGCGTGCTGGTCTCGCCGGCCCTTCAGATTAAACGGAGTCCCCACCTTTCTCCACGCAGGGGTCCAGCGCAGGGGGGCATCCCACATTAATCATCTTTAACGCGCTGACAAGCAGCATGCGCCAAACCCCCTCCATGCCTCAGGATTTATCTCTCTGTCTTCTGCTAGCCATCATTCACTCCCTTAGAGAGAGAAAGAGGGGGAACAGAGAGATGGAGGAAAGAATAAGAAATGGACAAGAAGAATGGGACACTTTAGAGACCACATGTGGTCTGGTGCATGGTGATTTTTATTTTAGTAAAGAGAGATTACTACTGGTGCACTGAATGAATAAAATGTGTATATTTTCTACCATTACTATATATATATAAAATATTTACTAAGAAAATTAGTATTATTTTTAAATGACGAAAAATAATTTTACCAAAGTATTTGGATTTTATAGATAGATAGATAGATAGATAGATAGATAGATAGATAGATAGATAGATACAGATATATAGAAGGACAGATAGATATAGACATATAGACTGTATATAATAATTTCATAATAATTTACCCCCTCCATGCCTCAGGATTTATCTCTCTGTCTTCTGCTAGCCATCATTCACTCCCTTAGAGAGAGAAAGAGGGGGAACAGAGAGATGGAGGAAAGAATAAGAAATGGACAAGAAGAATGGGACACTTTAGAGACCACATGTGGTCTGGTGCATGGTGATTTTTATTTTAGTAAAGAGAGATTACTACTGGTGCACTGAATGAATAAAATGTGTATATTTTCTACCATTACTATATATATATAAAATATTTACTAAGAAAATTAGTATTATTTTTAAATGACGAAAAATAATTTTACCAAAGTATTTGGATTTTATAGATAGATAGATAGATAGATAGATAGATAGATAGATAGATAGATACAGATATATAGAAGGACAGATAGATATAGACATATAGACTGTATATAATAATTTCATAATAATTTTACTTTTATAATTTTATTAAAAAAATGATAATATATATATATATATATATATATATATATATATATATATATATATATATATATATATATATAT